TTAATATTATCAATATAAAGTGTGTTCAATAAAGTACTGTAAGTTTAACCAGGATTCAGTATTCTTATTTGCGTGCCCGGATTATAAGTGGAAGAATGAAGAAGCCTTAGTCGGCATCCTGAAATATCAACATAACATAAGTAACCATACTACTGACATAACCCACAGCATAAGAAATAAGCTCCCACGCCATGTCAGAGTAGATGTGTTACAGTTTATAATTTATACTTTGTGCTGTTATACCAGAACTGCATAACTATTTATATACCTTGACTCCAGTGGTTACTAAATATTAATGAAAGTTGGCTGAAATATATGTGTTCTATGAAATTTTATATTTTACTTTAAAATCCACTCCTAAATTTTTTTTTTTTGTAATCTAAATTTATTTCTATTTTCAATAAGCACAAGGTAAGGTAGCTAACTTAAACATTAAAAAAAACTGAACTAACATCATGAATGAGATTAGCTACAAAGACAGCCCTTGTTTGCAGTAAGCTTCTTAAAAATACAAAATATGCTGTAATGTTCAAGGTGACAAAAAGTGTTGCCATTAAAGCTGCAATAGCTGAACATAGCCTAGTGTGGGAACAGGCAAGAATATGAATTAATGAAAAAAGTGGCATGAGAGCAGCTAAGTTATGTGAAACAGTAACCTAGCTGGGGGCTGGGGTGGGGGATGGGTGGGGGGTGCGGAATGCACCAGGTGACACCATTTCAGGGGGTGACACCATAATTGAAAAATTGCATATTTACAGAGAAGACATTGCTCTGTCATACCAAATTTTATAAAAGGTTAAGAGATCACAAGTAGATTTTGCACACATGTAACCAACGCCTGCTTTATTAAATGTTCAAGTTTACGATCCACCATGGGACAGTCAAGGCTTTCTGATCTGGCTTTACTATCAATTAAACGTGATATGGTGAAGGAAATTGATTTTTATAAAGTGATTAACAGTGCTGGCAGCTTTAAAGACCAGGAAAGGAAAATTTTATATATAGTAAATTTAATGTAAAAATAACTACACAGTTCTTAAATACATTTACCTCATGACCTTCAATTACTTTGTTTTTGTTCTTGTCATTGTTATACTGGGGACTTATTTTAACAAGAAGAAATCCATTGTTGAAGTAGGGGGGGGGGGGGGACACAATATGAGTTTACCGCACCCGGTGACACCAACCCTGGCTACGCCCCTGATGGGAAACAATGGGGGCCATTTTGCCATTCCTCACTCATCAAAAGGGGGGGGGGGGGGGGGGGGGGGGGGGGGGGGACACAATATGAGTTTACCGCACCCGGTGACACCAACCCTGGCTACGCCACTGATGTGAAACAATGGTGGTCATTTTGCCATTCCTCACTCATGAAAACGAAAACTTATACAGAACACATCAAACATGAACCATATGAAGTAAATGAAGTAGCCTGAAAATCCTAAACCCCCCAAAAAATGGCAGCCCAGGGCTGACTGCCTCCCCCATCCCCCTCTTCCTGTGCCAGTGAACTTTGTCCAGATTTTCATTTACATACCAGTGTATTATTAATATTAAATCTAATGTTGCAAGGTGGTGCTATTAGGCTATTATCATTTTGTTTGTTTTTGTTGTTGAAAAATAAAACCTTTATCTAAAACATGAACACACAGAGACATAGGAATAAACATTAACACTGACGTTGGTAACTTATGAAGGTTTGAATTTTTTGAATCCAATAAACTATTTTGTGGGTTAGTTGGGAATCATTTAACTGGAACAGTCTTACTGACTAATGTTAGTTTGAAAAGATACAAAGCATACATGCCAACCTGTATAGTTTACCCGTAATTGGTACGTTTATCAAATGTTTTTCTCTTTTTAAAAGTTTTTCGTGTTGTATGGCCGTTTAGGTTTTTGAGTGGTTTTTCACTGGATTTAAAATAGAAATATTTTTGCACAAGACACATGCTATAAACTGGTGATGCAATAAATTCAACCATGGTCAACAGGAAGCTTAAACCGTATTGTTTCATTCAAAATGGCCTTTAGTCCAAAGTCTGGAAATGGTAGGCCATGTAAATTAGAAATTGAGTTTATTGATACCATTCGTTAATATAATTTTTATTTATTGCTCGCCCTTCGCATGCCAAGATGACCAAGACAATATTCAACTTGAGTAGTAGCCTTGA